AAGCATCTGGAGCCATTTTATCTGACATTGAAGCTTAGCTCCACTACTTACTAGTCATATGATTGGAAAACTATACCTTCCTGTGACTTCAGGTCCTTCCTCAAAGAGTTGTTGCAAAAGTTAAGTGTAGTTGGTGCATTTTAAACTTTTTGAACACCGTAAACCAGTTGCTGTCGAATTGATTTAGATTCAAGGCAACCACATGTGTGCCACAGTAGAACTGTACTCCACAGGACCTTCAACAGCTGACTTTTTAGAAGTAGATCTTCAGAACTTTCTTCCATGAAACCTCTAGGGGAGACTCGAACCTCCAACCTTTCTGTTAACAACCAAGTACATTAACTGTACCACTTAGGGACTCGTTGTTGTTGTTAAGTGCCGTCGAGTCGGTTCCAACCCATAGCGACCCTGTACAGGGTTTCCGAGGGTGTAAATCTTTATGGGAGTAGAAAGCCTCATCTTTCTCCCTCAAAATAGTTTCGAACCGCTGACCTTAAGGTTCGCAGCCCTATTTGTAACCATTACGCTACCAGAGCTCCTTAAAACATAGTAAATACCTTAGTTAGCTATCATTTTAGTTTACTAAGGATGTGTCTCTTTCTCGATTGTAAACTCCTAGAAAGCAAGGTCTTATTCATCTCTGTGCCCAGCGTCTGGCACATAGTAGGCACTTAGTACATATTTGTTCAATGAATCGTCTTATGATTAGTCTGCCAATGGCTCATTTTTCATTGGTTTGACTAGTGAGCCAGCAGGATTGTTTTCAATGAGCTGGTATTCCCCAGCAGCAGGTTCCAGCCCCTGTGTCTGGACAGGTTCATAAATGTGTATTTGGGTGACTTGGCCAGTGGAATTGGGTTCCTCTCAGCTTGCTTTCCTTATCTCCGGGCCTTGTTCTCTGCTTCTCAGACTCCCTGTGAATCTGAGCTGTTTCTTGTTCTACTTTATTCAAAGGGACTTTGTAATATCATAGCCTGACCCTGTGTCCTTTTTCTATTGTGAACATTAGGTCTCAGACATTCAAAACAAGGAGAATACACCAGGACTTTGGGATGCTGTCACAGCGGAGAGGAAGAGGGAAAAAGGGAAGCTTCAGAGACCTAAGAGTGACGAGGACACAAAATGTTAGGAATCCTGGTGCTGCCTGGACTCACCTTCTGTCCTCCTCCAGGAATTCCAATTCCTTCTCATTTGTGCCCCTAAACAATGCTGCTGTTCAAGACTTTGCTGAGGAAATGGGTCCATCAGATGTCCCTCACCTGAAGATGCAGAAAGCAGAGGCCTGGAGGGCATGAGAGAGAATTCCAGGAACTGAGATAGGAGATGGAAGTATAATTTATGAATTGATTTCAAGAAAATATAGGGCTTTTACATAGACATCTGGAATCTTCTATGACCGACGCTCTAGCAGAAATCCTGGTATGGCGCTGTAGGATAAGCACTGGCAAGGTTGGTGATTTAAACCCACCAATCACTCCTCAGAAACCTTACACACTATGAGTTGCTATGAGTCAGAACCGACTTGACGGCACTTAACAACAACAACAAAATTCTAGCAGAGAAATTTAGGACAGATATTAGGAATACACTAATACTACTGTGGATAGAAAGGGATGCCAGCTAGACAGTTCTAGTATCCTGTTCTCTGGTGGCTGCTCTAGTCCAAAGTGTGGCTTGGAATATACCTTCCACCCCAACCCCCAATCACTACAGCTCAGGAAGGGTGCAGCTATTCATTGGTTTAGCTGGTGAGCCAGCAGGATATGTCCAATGAGTTGGTGTTCCTGGAGTGGACTAGGCCTGTTGCAAGGGAATAATGAGAGGGACTTTCCACACCAGAGCCCTTACCCTATCCCTCACACTTCTGCCCTCTTTATCTCTCTCAGTTCGCTAGATGCCACAGCACTTCTGACTGGGGCAGAAGTTCTCAACTTTGACTCCTCTTTCAAAGAAGTCAATTCTCCTTTAGCTTCCCTTCCTAGGACTGCTTATAGAAACCTGTGACTATGCTTTCATTTTTTGCTTTTTCTTCTCCAGTCTAGATCCACCTTTCCATTGCTCTCCAAGCTCTACTTGTCTTCTTCCCTTTCCCTTCTTTCCTCCTTCTCCATTTCCCATGGGCTCCTCACTCTCCTCTTCCTCACAGTTCCTTATATCCTCAGCTTTCCAGTGTTGGCCTGGCAGGAACTATAGCCCAATCAGAGCCTGGCTTCTGCTTAATCACAGGATTCAATTCCATCATTGGTGACAGTCAGCATTGGGGAACTGCCCTGGGTGGGACAATCCTGGGGCTCTGACTTCTTCAGCTAGCAAATTGATTAGAGACCCTGGCCCACCCTTGAAGTTAAGTCATCTTTTGGATTGGTAAAGACTTTAGTTTCTGTTTTAATTGACTCTGAGTAGGTTGAAATCTTGTTCTGTAAGATCATATCTTCGGGTCTAACAATCAAGGTTGATTGTACACTTACAACATGCTAGTTACTGTTCTAGGCACTTGACCTGCAGAAATGCAAACCAGACCCAGTTCCTACAAAGAGCTCACAAGCTAGTGAGCAGTCAGGTGATTTTGTAATGAACTACAAGACAGTATGAAAAGTATTATATTAATAATGTGAAGAGGACATGAATGGATAGAAGACACAGGAGTCCCTAGACAGTCCTTCCTTTTAAATGTTGTCTCTATCTTGGGTGGTCAGATAAAATAAATAAACAAGGAAGATGCCAAGTTATTTTGACTCTGTTTGAACAACACTCCACTTCCTTTCCCTCAGAGCAACATAACAAAACAACAATCATCATTAGCCTCTTATTATGGAGGTAATCATGCAGATGTTGCTAATCTATGGTGGCTTCCAACAGCCACAATTTGACCTGCTTTTATGGAAAGGTAGGTCCAATTTTCAATCTTATAAAACTCTCCCACAAGTAGGGGTGATGAAAGTAGGAGGGGAGGGGGCCATCAGGCACAGCCTCCTTTTGGGGTAGGTGGGAGGATGGGGGAAATAAAGAGGATAGTAATAAAGCAGTATACTTGAAGTTAGAAGACTGGAAGTCTTCATTAGTTAACTTCATGCTCTTGGCCTCAAGTTTCCTCTTTTGTAGAATGAGGATAATAACACTATTCACTTTGTAGAGCCACTGTGAGATTTTTGAGGAGAAATACACATAAAACTCTTAGAAGGCACATGTTGTTGTTATGTGTCACTGAGTTGGTTTGGACTCATAGTGACACTGTATAGGATTTCCAAGGCTGTAAGTCTTTACCGGGACCTGAAAGCCTCATCTTTCTCCTGTAGAGCGGCTTGTGGATTCGAACTGCTGGCCTTGTGGTTAGCAAACCATGTAACCCACTACGCCGCAGGGCTCCTCTTTGGAAGGCACACATTTTGTTTGATGATTTGGTTTATTAATTAGACAGCGATGATGACAGTGGTGGTGAGGATGAGCGTCAGGCCATGGGACCTCAGGAAAGCCACTTTTATATTCTGACCTCAGTTTTTTCATCTGCAAAGTGACTGAACCTCACAGAATGATTTGGAATTCTATTTGGCAACATTGACTGAGCGTCTTCCCTGCTGGTGTCACATGGGGGTTCAGAGAGGAATGAGGTTTGGCTCCTGCCTTCCAGAATCTCACTGTCTAGGAAAAGAACATATTCACACATGGATGGTTTTAACACAAGGCATGACCCCAAAGAGCAGCTGGGCTCACCAGTGTGAGTGTTCCGTGGTAGGAAGACTCCAGAGAGCTCTGTGGGAGGCAGGATTTGATCTAGGCTTAGAAGGATGGCAGAGAGAGAGTGTGCTAGTCCCTGCTTAAAAAAAAAAAAAAAAAGTTTCTTCTCAGAACGAAGGCCAAACTCTTCAGTTAAGCAGAGGCCTGTATTCACTATCTGACCTCTGCTCCCTTCTGCTATTGTTCCACCCCCTTGTCCTTGCACTGCGATCGTCCCTGTTCCCTTGTATATACATTACCCTCTCTTGACTACCTGCCATCTTTGCATACACCCTTCTCCTGGCCTGAAACTCTCTCTTCCCTCTGCCAGGGGCAGAGTCAGACTGTGGCACTCTGGTGTGTGCTACTCAATTCCTGGTGACTCAATGTTCTCAGCTTCAAAATGGGATTGCAGGATCACATGGTGTTGTTGTCTCCTCAAAGGCTGGTTGTGAGCATTAAATGAGGTAATGCAAAGTGTTTGCTAGCTTTGCCCACAGTAATTATGGAATACATATGAACCATTTTCATGAACACTTTACGCTGCTGTGCTCCTACTTGTATTTCAGGTCTTGAGTCTAGTCATTACTGCCTCTGGGAGGCCTTTTCTGGCTCCTAAGGATGGGGAGTCCTGGTGAGGCCTGTAAGAGAAACATCGGGATGCTAACTGCAAGGTCGGCGGTTCAAACCCACCAACAGTCATCAGAAAGCCTACGTACACAGGGTCACTATGAGTCAGAATTGGCTTGACAGTACTTAACAACAAAAACAACACGACCAGGTTATGTGCTCCCAGGGTACACGGTACCTCGTTTTCTACCATAGGACAGGCCCGCTTGTGTGTCCGCGGGACTGAAAACTCGATGAGGACAGGGACTGACCGATTGTATTGGCTCCTGGGAGGGACATGTGCTAGACACTCAGCAAATCTTGAACAAATGGCATGGGGTCAAGGGGCTCAGTGATGACTGAGAGGGACAGGGCCTAGGCCGGCCAGTTGGTAGTGGGCCATGAAGCTGAACCAGCGGACCTCTACTCCGCAAGTGACAGAGACCTTGATGCGGAGCTCGTGGCTTCCTGGGGATGTCCAAGGCTCCTTCCCACCCTGAGAAAGACCCCGAGAGGGTGAAACGGGGAAGGGCGCTGAAGGCGCTTAACTTTGCTTGGTCAGCACCCAAGGGAGAAAATGCCGCAGGACAGGTCGGGCGAGCACATTGGGGTCCCCGCCTCCGACTCCGCCCCCGGCGCCGGCCCGCCCCCGCTGGCCAACCCCCTCCGGTACCCGCCGCGCGGCAGCTGGAACCGCAACTGACTGCGCGCGCCGCCCCCTGTGCAGGGCCGGCTCCGCGCGCTTATTCCACCCGGAGGAGCTCCTAGGCTTCCCGCCGTCGACTGCCGCTGCAGAATGCTGCGCTCCACGTCCACCGTCACCCTGCTCTCCGGCGGAGGCGCCAGGGCGTCCGGGTCGCCCAGCAGGAGGGTGAGTAGCTGAGGGCGGGAGCCGCCACTGCCGGGTCCCCCGGTCCTGGCCGCCCTTGCTGTAGGAGTCTAGGAAAGGGACGAGTGCGAGCGGTTCCTCGGACAAAGCTCAGGTCCCCCATCCTGGGAACAACTCTCCATTCCTGTCCCAACTCTGGCCGGGACTCTGCCTCTCGACGCCCCAGGGGCGCCTCACTGGTTGGAAGGAGAAGACAGGGGACTTTCTGGAATGCCCCGAGATTTCCATTTCCTGCCTTCTTGGTCAAGCCAAGTTTATTAGTAGCATTAGTTTAAAAACAAGGGAGACATTTCCGCAATGTCTCCCTACTTTGAGTCACAAAGGTAATGTTTTTAACGTGCAAAAAAAGAAGGGGTCATTTGTATCCACTGTTGATCAGTTAGTTAGTACCCATTCTGGAGTGGTAGTTTAGGTAAGGTGTTAAGTGCAGTGGAGTTGGTTCTGACCCATAGCAACGCTGTATAGAGTTTCTGAGGAGCGGTTGGTGAGCTTGAACCGTTGACCTTGCAGTTCCGTGCTTTAACCCACAGCACCACACCGGGACTCCGCTAAGATGGGTACCCCATTACAAACTAGAGGTCAGCAGCTGGGCCACTCAGGAGCCCAGCTGTGTGGGACTTCGATTTCCGGAAATCACTTTCTTTTTTCTGATTTAAATATTAGCACTGTGGCAGCAGTGGTAACCCTGGCACCATCTCTAGGGAGGTTGCACTTTTAGAAGTGTTCTTATTTCCCTGCAATCCTTGTTGCTTCTTTTCTCACCTCTCCAGATGCCCTGTGAAAGAAACGCTAGACACCTTCAGGATCTATCTTTCACATTCCGTGTTTCTTCCAAGATCAGCACCTCAGCGTACACTGCCTTGATTTATCCATTTATCATGATATTCAGTACTCATTATTTGGTGTCTCTTTACTGAGACTTCTTTGATGGTATCTCCCTGTGCTTGGTTAAGCATGGTTGAGTCCAAACCTAAGGCTGTTTTGATATTCCTGTCTGTTTTCTAGTCTTGTAGGTACGCTTGTTTGTTTTTGCATACCTCAGCCAAGTGATTACTGTTCTGCTGTCTTACTTTAGCACTAGAAGAAAGGCATTGCTTTACTCTCAGATATACACGAAATGATTGGTTCTTGTGCCACTTAAGATGGATAGACCTTTAGTTATCTATTACTAGATTCACAAAACATTAGATTCAAATGGTCTTCCAACTGTGGAATTTCATTGCATAAATTGCATGAAGTTCACTAAATCCCCCTCCAGAGGTGAAGAAATGAGTCAGGATGACCAGAATGATATTGTAAGTGGATACAAATGTTATTAATATTATTATTGTTAGGTGCTGTCCAGTTGGTTTCTACTCATAAGGATCTCATGCACAGCAGAATGAAACAGTCTGTCCCTGCACCGTTTTCCCAGTAGTTCCCATGTTTGATCCCATATTTGTAGCCACTGTGTCCGTTCATCTGTTGAGTGAGAGTCTTCCTCTTTTTCATTGACCTCTGCTTTACCAAGCATGATGTCCTTGTCCAGGGACTGGTCCTTACTGATGACGTGTTAAAAGTACACGAGACACAGTCTTGCTAGCCTAACATGTAAGAAGCATTCTTCCAAGACTGTTGTTCTGACTCCTGGTATTTTCCGTATCCTTTGTCAACACTCTAATTTGAAGTAATCAATTCTTTGCTTTTCTTAGTCATTGTCCAGCTTTCTCATGCATACCAGGCAATTGAAAACATGAGTTGGGTCAGGTGTACCTTAGTTCTCAAACTGACATCTTTGCTTTTTACACTTTTAAAGAGGTCTTTTGCGGCAGATTTCCCCCAATGCAGTATGTTGTTTGATTTCTTGATTTACTTGAGGATCCAAGTAAAATGAATCCTTGGCGATTCAGTATTTTCTCCATTTATCATGATATTGCTTATTGGTCAAGTTGTGAGGATTTTTGTTTTCTTTATGTTTCAGTGTAGTCCATACTGAAGACAGTAGTCTTTGATCTTCATCAATAAGTGCTCTTTGATTACTACAAGCAAGGTTATGTCATATGCATATTGCAAGTTGTTAATGAGTCTTCCTCCAATCTTGATGCTGTGTTCTTCTTCATATACTCCATTTTCTCAGATTATTCGCTCAACCTACAGATTGGATAAGTATGGTGAAAGGAAACAACTCTGATGCACAGTGGTTAGTATATCAGATAACATTTCTGGAGATTTTTTTTCTCTTAAATATTTAGAGTATTATTATTTTTTTTTAACGAACATGGCTTAGTAACTGGCACAGTGGAACACACTATCAAGAAGGTTTTGTCTTTTGAATAGGTTGTTGTTGTTAAGTGCCATCGAGTGAGTTCCAACTCAGAGTGACCCTGTATAACATTTCTGAGGAGTGGCCTGGTGAGCTTGAACCACTGACCTTGCGGTTCAAACAGACCTTGCAGTCTAGCATATTATACTCACTGTTGTTGAGTTGATTCCAACTCATAGAGACCCTATATAGGATGTCTGAAACTGTGAGTCTATACAGGATCAGACAGCCTCATCTTTCTCCTGCGGAGCGGCTGGTAGATTTCAGCTGCTGACTTTGTGGTTAGCAGGCCAATGCCTAACCCAAGCGCCACCAGGGCTACTTTGTCTTTTGAGTCCGATGACAGAAATCCTTTGGAACTGGAGGTCTTAGAGCCTTGAATCAGACTATGCAGTACCAGAACACTAGTCCTCCTTCTAGAAAGGTGGTATCGAAAGGTTCTAAGGGTCATCTTATCTCTGTGGCTTCCAACTCTGTTCAGGAGTCATATATGTCATGGGTACTGTTGTATGTTTATGGAGGGATGGGTGGGAATGTTTACTCCTGTGCCATCAATAATAAAGTAATTGACTTATTAAAAATATGAATAGATCTTTGGTGATGCACAGGAGGACCACTGGGGTCCATTCTACCTGTAGAGGCAGATATTGTCACCAACTACTTCTGGTGTGACTCTATAGGATAGGCATTGGACTGCTGACCCCCCAGATCAGCAGTTCAAACCTACCAGCTGCTCTCCAGAAACCCTATACAAGGTTGCTATGAGTTGGAAGCAACTCGACAGCACTTAAAACAACAATTCTCATATAGGAGTCCTGGTGTGGTGCTGTTTGATAAACACTGGACTGCTAACCACAAAGTTGGCATTTCAAATCCACCAGGAAACCCTATACAGGGTCACTATGAGGCGGAACCAACTGGACAGCACTTAACAATAAAAACAACTCTCAGACAAAGTGATGATTATTGAGTGTTTACAAAGTCCTCTGGAAGCTAAAAGGAAAGGTGGTTCTTCAGGTATCTGAGGAATGCCTCTCCCACTGTGAGCTGCTTCTGAGTTTAATCCTACAGGAAGTGGAGGACTCAGTTGATATGATTGGGATGCTGAAAGGTAGAAATATCATTCATCTAAACAGAATACATGTGAGTTCCATGGTTCCATATGATAATCATGGGACTGTGAACCTCAAGGTCAGTGGTTCGAGCCCACCAGCTGTTCCTTGGGAAAAAGATGAGGCTTTCTGCTCCCGCAAAGATTTATAGCCTTGGAAACCCTATACAGAGTGGTCATGAGTTGCAACTGACTGGATAGCACTTAACAACAACAATAATAGATGGAATGTGTGACGTATACTGTATGACTGTGGCATACTGGCAAAACACGTTTAGCAAAAACAAGAGCAGGATGTCTTGGAAATATAATTGTTAACAAATCAATAATCATTAAAAAGTTGCTTGAAATTGCAACTTTTCAGTTAAGTGTGAACCATTTTCTCTTTCCTCTCTAATGTTGGTCAAGCAGTAGTCCTGAACAATGACATGTTAGCCATTAAAACTGCATTTCTGTTTCATCCAAGGAGCTTATCAAATTATGCGCTGCTGGGAAGACCAGGCCAAGCTAGTTCGATGGTCAGGACAACCAGAAATGGTGGTGACAGTTGATGTTGAGCCAGACCCAAGTGTCACCGTTTCCTTGGCTGCCACTTACAACGTGTGCTTCCTTCTTATCTGAAATCATTGCTCAAGGAAAAAAAAAAAAAAGGTGATGAGAGTATTTTCTGTCAGCTGCTCAACAAAGCTCTGAGAGGCATTTATGGATGCCAACCAGCAGAGATTGCGAAATTAAAAAAAAAAAAAAAGGTCTGCCTTCAAAGCAGTTGTGCACTAAAAATAGTTTTATCTATGGCAACAGCAGGGAGATAAATTGACTAGAGAACAACCATCTACAGAATGGTGACCTTGAGGGGTAGGGGAAAGCATTACATTTTATTTTTTCCCTTCATGTTCTTGCAAGGAATTTTGTAAATGCTGCTTAATCTTGTTGAATGAACCTTTGAAAGAAAAGGTCAGTTATGTGCCCAGGTTGTGCACTTTGGGGGAAGGCCCAGTTGCTTCCTGTGGCCAGATCTTTTTGGTTAAGCTATTCAAGGCAGGTGGGGTGAGATGCGAAACCTGTCCAGGGTTTGGTCCCACACCACGCTCTGTTGACAGTAAGAGATTATTGGCTGGTGTTGCTGACACTGGATGTTCAGGGATGCTCAAGGCCACAAGGGTAGAAGGATTATTTCCTAGCCTGCCTTTGGAAATATGATTTCTATTTGGCAAAACTGTCCTCTGTTAAAAAAGGGACTGGGCCTGCAGTTATCACACCATGGCTCTCCTGTACTCCATTTCTGTCCGATTGGCTCAAGGTAAAAAGCGTCCTTAGCTGCCCCGTGAGTGGATCAGGCAGGTGTTAAACTCAGTTCCTTTTCCCAGTACACCGAAACATGTGCACACCAGCTTGTGTCCTCCTGTGGGCTGTGGAGATGGACACAGGGTACTGGGGGAACCTCAGAGTCTGGTGGAAGGAAGTTTGTTTGCAGCAGCTTCCAGGGATGGTGGGGTTTGGAGCAAGTCAGCTTGTCAATCCTTGAAAGGCTGTGTTGTATGCTCTTGGACCCATGGTTCCCTCACGGCT